GCTTATCAGCAGCCTTTTTCAACTGAAATGTCATCAAACTTCAGTCTAGCTATGCATCTGGTGGCACACCTGTTTTCACTTAAATATTTAAAAGCAATTGTGGAGGAAGATCAAGGACCTTGACCAACAGCGAACTAGTAACCAAGTTAGTCTTCTCTAAGCAATCCTCTTTCTTGGCCACATATTGCTCACTTTTAGTGCTTTCCTTTTCAATTCCCACACTTTTTCCAGAAGAAATAGGGAGGTAGCAAACTGAACAGTTATGCAAAGACAATGTTCTTCTGCACATCAGAACCACACAGAAGAAAGTATCTCTGACTCTTGTGTATCGGAAATATAGAATCGTTTGAAAAAAAATTTACATATTATTACATCAACCAAGGTTTTAAAATTAAATAAACAAACAAAGGTCTTTGTGGAACCCTGGAAATTCAGATAATGCGCTTGAATATTATGCCCCATTTTTCCAATTGATCAGTTCTGGAGTACTGGTGTAGGGTTTTGGAGTTCTGTTTCTGCATAATCAACCTTTTAATTACAGCTCTGTAAGCAATCTCCAAGAAAATACGGAGAGATTTAAAATCACTACCCTTACAGCCGTACTTTAAAATAATACCCTCCAAATATTCATCTTTTAAATACAGAAAATTATGTCTATATAATAGAAGGATACTTTTTAATCTCTGTTTTTTAATCTCCACTTTTTAATCTGATTAAACAAATTTAAAGGCTGATTCTTCCTACTGCGTTTAATACTAGCACTCCTCCTAACTACTTATTTCACAGCAGGAATTGTCTTTGAGAGCACATTCACATTATTACTCCAGATTGATGTACACAGTGACTTTGGACCAAAAGACTATGCCAATATATATGGCATTTCCTAAAGGACACTGCTTAAAGTACTAAAAATATCGAGCAAACAAAAAAAATTATTCTAAATATTATAGCTTTATTGACAACATAAACCAATGTATTAGAAACTGCCTAGCATTTCCAGCAAGGTACCTCCACTGAAAGTCCACCTTTCAGATTTAATTTACCAATGGTTGGCTCTATCCCATGTTAGAAGCTGTAAGATTTTATTTTCTTAGGTTTAAGGGATTTATTAGCAAACATTTTTCAGAAAAATAAAGAAATTATTACTAGACATATTAACAATAGAAAAAAGTTAGTTTGGGGGTCCTTTCCTGCCATGGTGGGGGTACCCCTTACCTGTGTTGGATGTCGTCACCACGTCTGCAATTCGTTTTAAGCCTGTTAAATACCTTGCAGAATGGGACTGTATTTTCTAATGTGTTCTGACAGGGTCTTTTTTTTATAGTGAACCTCTGCAAGCAGATAACAAGCCATGAGGCTGTTATGGACCCCTGGTTCCAGCCATAAACACAATTTACATTCAGACCATTTTCTGCCAGTAGAGTCAACTGAGACTATTAATCAAATGAGAAAGAAAACAAGCATTTGTAGAGCTTTAAACAGATACTGTTCATCTGTTATTTAAAGCATGATGGTATCAGAGTACTGCTCAATGTTTGAAGACCAGTTGTACAATATTTAGAATGAACTTTTCTTTAAATGGAACAACACTATGAAATACAGAAGTTAAGTAATTGATGATTGGTCTGGGAGAGCATTAAAGGAAAATATCTCAGAGCAAAAAGCACTGCCTTTTTCAGCCCTCCAAAGCGCCGTGAAAACTTGGGTGCCTGCATAGGTGTTTGCTGAAAAACAACAATAGATTACATCAACCAAATTATGTATTCAGCAAATAACTCAGTTGGCATTTGGGGGGGCTTTGTGTAGGCTTTTGCAGCACAGAAGGCAGATGGTGATTACACTGACTTCTGTAAAACTGTACTGAACGTTACATTAACGGGTAATTAGAAAGCTCAATTTGATTTCACTTCTATTTTCATACAGACTATTTTTTGGCATTCAAAAATATATATCGTGAGAAGTTCACAAAGCAACATCTCTAGGCTATAGACATGTTAATTTTGGTCTGTTCACGCTATTAGGATAAAAAGATAAGGGAAAAAATGAATTATTCTATGTATTCTCTCCCTGAACATTTACTGTTACTTGTGTATTTCAGGAACCAACCTCTGACTCAGATGCAACAAGAACAAATCACAGAAAGCTTAGCCTATACACTAAATCTTTACATTTTTCAGTCAGACATTATTTTTCAATTTACCTTTGTGAAGAAATAATTTGTCAGACCTGTTCTTATTTAACCTAAGTAAATACAGCAAAGTATTCAATAAAAATACAATAGATCATAAAGGAGATTGCCAGATTTTTTTATTTACCAACTACCAGCTTCCTAACAAAGCATACCTTCCCTTCAAATGCCAAATTTAATTCCAACTTCCTCCAAGTTGTCTATAAAACAAAGCAATATGCTGCATGATCTTTGAATACTAAATCTTAACATGGAGTCCTCTGCTTAAACCCAAGTCCTGCATCATACAGCACACAGGCAGGCTGCTCCATCCCAGAGCAGCTTTGCTGATTTCAGCAAACTGCTTCCAAGCAAAGCATTTCAGGATCAAGAACTAGAGATGGGAAAAACCCAGGGGTAGGAAATAAAATTATAACATTTTACAATTCTTTTAGACAACAAAAAGTAACAATTCATCATGCTAGGAAATACATTTCACATTTACTACCATTATTCATCCAACTACAATCATGAGAAGAGCAGAGACAACAAAATAATCATTGCACTACTCAAACTGTTAATGGATTAGTGTAGTTGGTCTCCTATATACAAATACATAAGTGAAAAGCAAACTCATTATGAAAGCTGGCAGTTATCCATTCACCTATAACCTTCAAAAAATTACTGACACACAAAATTGCATCACAGCCCATCTGGATGGGGAAGTCCGGACCTCCCATCATGTTGCTGTTCTCTTCACAAAAATCAGATGTAAAGTAGTTTCCACAGTTAAATTGTCATACTGTTATGACAAAGTGACACAGAGTGACAAAAGATATCCCGTGGCTCTATAGCTCTTTAAAATACGAAAACAGAGTCTTGATTGTTTGATCACTTTCAGATGAATGGTCTAAAAGGTACAATAATTTAATAAGCCTACAACCAAAGCTTCTAAAGGGAAAAGTAAAATAAAACAATGGTTGGTCAACACAAATGTTTTAAGGAAAAAAATCTAAGAACTCAAGAGTATCTAATTCTCAGCCTCTGCATGCAAACTATACATTTCCCTCCCTCTGCCTGTTTATCAGTTAGTTAATGTATCCTTTCCCCCTCTCATGTTGATGCATGATCAAATACAAATAGATGTGGTTTTGATGCAATTTCAATTTCTAAGAATATTGATTAAGCAGAATATTGACTTTTCTCTATGTCTGGTTACAGGTTTTATTTCCAACTGCAAGTGATAATGGGTTTTCTCATTGTTTTGTTTATTATTCCTTCATAAAGAACAAACCAAAAAATTTTCCTATAGTCTTCAAACAGGATCCTGTTCTACAAACCTAACTTAAGCAAGATCCATTAAACTGCTATAAAATTTAAGTGAAGGCCACGCCTCAGACATGACCCTTTCTCTTTCTAACACAGTTCAGTGCTCATGGCTTTGGTACCTTTTTTTTTTAATTTATCTCACTAAAATACATGGGAGGAATTATGCATCTATGGATGAGCAATTTTTCTGTCCCTCCCAAGATTTTTTTTTTAAAGGGGAAGAATTAAACATCAAAAATCCCCAGTAAATTACAATGTGTTATCTAACAACCCTGTCTATTTTATAGGAATCTGGTGAAGATTTTGGCCATATACAAACCCACATAACTACCACACTGAATCTTCCTCAACAATTTCCCTGACCTCTAGTCAAATTAACCTTTCAAAAATAATCATTAGCATGTGGTAAAACTAGGTATAAAACATGGGAAAGTTTTCCCATATATAGCAATTATCACTGTCAAGGAAATAGTTGATAGCTCACATCAACATCATAGAAGGTGCCAACAAATGACTGGGAACACAATTTTCTTCTTTACCTAAGGCACTAAGGGCCACAGGAACCTAAAAAGATACCTGCTACTGCAGTAAGCATTTGATTTTACAGGAAAAAAGTGTAGAACAAATTAAGAGAGCAGATCTAAATATTTCTGAATGAGCCATGTTCCTAGTGCAGACTGCATATAAAAAAAGAGAGCTTGAATTCTAGTTATATGCTCTTTGCAATGCTTTCTTGGTATTTGTATCATCATATCTTAAAATATTATTCTGTAAGATCCTAACTTGCAGAGACTTCCTACTTTTTATTCTTATATAACAGACTGGCCAACCAACATGCTGTCAATGTTAGTTTTTTCCAGGACAAGCTCAACATCTATGCAACAAGGTCAAATAGCTGTCTCCCTATTTTAAATAGGATGGGAATTTTGACAATTCCACTTTCAAAGTGCAAAAACATTCCAGCACTGAGCTGCGCTCTGTCGAAAGCTAAAGTGCGACAGATGCCTTCACAGTAATTGCCAATCAGCCTCAACGCAGCAGCCGAAAACACAATACATCACACTGATCTCCTCAGCTCTCAAAGTATTCACAATCAAGGAATCTGCATGAAGAATATGAAATATGCAACAGTTTCAAAAACTGTCTCCGTGGAACTTAAATATGATAATGTATATTTTGTTCATACTTCATAAAGCATTTCCAATCCTTTATTATGCATATGAAAGGATATGTTTTAGCTTGCAAAAAAAAAACCCAACATGAAAGATGCTTTATATTTTAGAGACATGTAGGTTTCCATTAGATAACACAGGTGAAACAATCATTTAGAAAAGCCTGAATTGCTTTGAGGGGAAGACATTATTACAGAACATGCTTAATTAAGTCCCACTGCTAATTTTGTAAAATGAATACCTTGTTGAATTAGACTACAGGGAAATAAAGCACGCCTACCAGCTCCACATGCTTAAAACAATAAGAAAACACTGAGGAAGGGTTGACTTACATTTTGCAGGTAGGTCATATCCACACGTAATTTTTGCTTGTCCAGTCTCACAGCCACTCAGGTTACGACATTCAGCAACCAAGCAGGGCCCAGCAGCTCTGTGTATACAGCCATCCACTACAAAAGCAAACCCAGAAACTTTTACTTACTAAAAGCCAGTCTTTATGTTGCCTTCACACAGATATACAGTCACAAAACTTTACTGCTCATTTTTACATTCACAGCTCAGACCTACTGATCTCTAAGTAGATATCCAAATATATACAAACTTTTTTTCTGCCAGAATTAGTCAGTGTTTATCAAAAAATAATATTCTGGTAACTGAAAAGAAAACACCTAGAAAAGGTAAAGCAGAATTAAAATTTCAATGTTAGGAAAGCATCTTATTCAAGGCTCTAAGAAATTCTCACTACAAATTATGAAAACAAATTTGATCCCCAGCTAAATACCAAACTCTCTTTTACTACATACCTCTGATACTTCTACAATTATGCAGACCATTTAATGTCATCATCCTACTAATACCTTATACAAAAATTCCAAGAAATAATGCTTATGGATTTGAAATATAAAAATACCTTGTTTTGACCTTTATTCTTTTTTACATTTTTTAATTTTGCATTATTCATGCAATACTTTGGAGTTAATTAAATAATAATTACTAAAGGTTGCAATTGCAGCTAGTATGCAAGAAAATTAGTAGAGTGCATAGATCTTATTACCCTCAGGAGCCAGCAAAAGAATAGTAGCAGAGGCAAAGAATAAAAAAAGGCTGCTGGTACAGCATCTCTGCCCTCTTAACATGCAATCAAAGAAATCATTTACTGTAATTATGGCAAAAAAAGGTTAAGAAAAAGGAAAGAAAAAAACCCAAGGGAAATACTGTATGCATGAACATATTAACCACAGTAAGGCCCTAGGTCAGCAGCAATGTTGAAGATCAACTATGAGAAATAATCATCATATAAAGTACAATATCAATTCCAAAAAGGTAAAATAAGCTCAAGTATGAAGGCTAAACAAATACTTAAGGAGACAAGAAAGGAAGATTCTGTATGCATATCATTCAATATTTATTTCAGATTTCATTTCAGATTTAACCAGTTCAAAGTTACAGCAGTACCCAACAGCATGTTTGAAGCAATTAAACCAGAAAAGGTTTGAAAAGCCAAATGTAGATGGGTTTTCAAGAGATGCACATAATCTGTTCATAGCATAACCTGTGTAGCTTTCTACAGGCTAGGAGAGCAAGATTTGGGCAATATGAGGCTTGGTCACTCAGCATCCCTACCGACCATTCACTGCCCACTGGGAGGCAGGGAGACCAGGTAACTCCCTCACCCCAAGATGTTTTTCAAAGCTGGAATGGAAACAACAACTGGCCTTTCTGCATTAAAGTCATAGCTGGTTTTGCAGGGTGTTGAGTACTTCCCTGAAGCCAGGCATCCCCAAGTGGAGGGGCAGATAACATCTTTATCTGAATGAAGCTGTCTTCTACTAAGTGTTAAAAACTTGATTGCCTTTTCCAAGATGTTCTATGCCAGACTTAATACTCAGATGACCCAGTAAAATTGGATAAGCAGTTCCTTGTAATACTCCATACTCACCCTGGACACGGTGCCACTGATTTTCAAAATGTCATTTTGAAGTACTTTATATTAGACAGAAAGATAATTAGAGAATCATGTCATGTTGCACTTTCAGTGAAATTTTCTAAAATTTTCTTCTTTAAAAGAATGCGGATACCAAGCCACCAGCCGTAAGCAAGTTGTGCACTCATTATGCCAAGATACCAAGTCTTCTTACTCTACCTTAGCTTTGTTTTTAACTTACCCAAAATCTGTGCTCAACAGACTCCAAGATGCTAATGCAAGAACAGTATTTTGTGACCTCAAGGGGAAAAAGAATGCTTGAAATCTATCCTGTGCTCATAATATCTGATTTAATTATTTTAACTTAATTACTAAATGTTTTTCCAAACCAAGCAGCATAAGTAAACCAGTATGCATTGAAACCTCAAGTATATTTTTGTAAGCATCACCACCACAATCTTTACCAACATTAATATTTCCTGACACATTAACAGCACTGATGCTTAGGACTAGCACTTTCTGCATGATTCTTTACAGAGGACAAAGTCTTTCACCTCAGGAATACTGGACAAGGGCTCAAGTCCATGCAATTATTCCCTTGGCAGTGGATTAATCATTTCTACACCTGACCTTCTTCTTGTCCCTAACAAGTAGGCACCCTCCCTTGAGCAGTGTCTGTACAGCAGTTTGTTCAGTGACCCTCTCAACCAAATCATCTGGATAAATCAACCACTTTTCCCCCCAAATCCATTCATTTTAACCCAAGTCCAGCTCAGCGCACAGCCAAACAACAGAACCCACAAAAAGGAACCACTGCCTCTGGAGAGGAAGTAGAAGCACAGATTTATCACTACTTCTAAATCTGCAATGTATTAACATACCCGATATGTTAACATACCACGTGCCAGATCAGATCAGCTGTGACAGTGAACACATAGGCAGTCCCAGCTCCCCTTCTATAAATCATCTCATGGCGGAAGAAGCATGCTCTTAATGCACATACAGCTACGATACAGATGGTCTATCACTAGATTCCTGGAGCTGGTTCCACACAGGTTGTCCAGTCTTTATAATCGAAGCAGCCTCCAGAAAGATGAAAACATAATTGAAGAAAATTAAATTTTTAACAGAGGAAAATAGATTCCATCATAACCTGGAGTACTATGTGCAGCTCTGAGGTCCCCAACATAAGAAAGACATGGACCTGCTCAAGCAGGTCCACAGGAGGACCACAAAGATGTAAGAGGGCTGTAGCACCTCTCCTATGAAGACAGGCTGAGAAAGTTGGGGTTGTTCAGCCTGGAGAAGAGAAGGCTCCAGGGAGACCTTACAGCAGCCTTCCAGTACTTAAAGGGGGCCTACAGGAAAGATGGGGAGGGACTCTTTATCAGGGAGTGTAGTGATAGAACGAGGAGTAACAGTTTTAAACTGAAAAAGGATAGATTTAGATTAGATGTAAGGAAGCAGTTCTTCACTGTGGGGCTGGTGAGGCACTGGAACAGGTTGCCCAGAGAGGTTATGGATGCTCCATCCCTGAAAGTGTTCAAGGCCAGGTTGGATGAGGCTTTGAGCAAGCTGGTCTAGTGGAAGGTGTCCCTGCCCACGGCAGGGGGGCTGGAGCTACATGATCTTTAAGGTCCCTTCCAACCCAAACCATTCTATGATTCTATGATAGCCAATTTTGACATGCAACAAGGGAAATGAAAGGTATCTGCCAAAACCAAACAAGCAGACATGCATACTTCTCTTATAAAGGTGGCATAACAGAAAATGATTGAATCCTCCAGACAGGCATAGATGGAAATATAGACATTAGCATTTGATAAACTTCAGTGACCAATGACACAGAAAAATGAAGGAGCAGGGGCACAACCACCACCAAAAAAAACCCCCAAAACCCAAACACCAAAACACCCACAATTTTCTGAATAACCTCTTTTTTCTACCATATTTCATTAAAAACTTGAGCAGAGATGACCTCTGATCTACGTATGCATTTTCCATTTAATATAACTCAATAAATCACGCTGGAAATATTCTACGTTTCCAATAATATATACAATCTATAACACAAGTTTAATAATTCTTAAAGCAAAAACTCAAGCAGTGAAATATCTTGCCAAATATGAGCACTCTGCATAACATAAAGAAAAAAATTGGCAAAGGTGGAATAGATTAGCAAATCTAAACGTGATACTTCAGCCTCTGCTAAAATGTGTCTTAGCTGTATTAATTCAAAAAAACATGGAAAAGGCATGCACAAAACATTTACGTGAGATACTTTGTTTTCTGGAAGTGTGCACTGACTAGTAATGTAAGTGTACAGAGAGGTAAGCATTGTTAACATGGAAACTTTTTGGAAATTACAGATAACAGCAACAACCTCAGGAGGGAAAAATGATGGCCAAAGATATATTGTTATTGTGTAGTAAGGAGGAAGAGATTTACATGATAATAATGGCATGCTGCCAAATTACTTTTATAGGAAAGTGAAGAGTCTTTGATACATTGGTTTCAGATACTTCGTCTGTATGATCAGTTTGATATATTAGATACTCATCTGCGTTTTTCAAAACAGATTTGGAAAACGTTAAACCATATCCCACTGTTCCTTCCCTGGAATTTCTTTGTGCAACTGGCTGAAAAACCCAGGCACTTATGGTCAAATCTGACTTGCGTCATGTGACAGTGATACGGAATTATGCATTATCACTGTTTTCTACAACCAATGAAAAATGTCATTTTACTTTGAAGCTATCACTCTGCTTTACAGTATGCCATTTTTCTACAGGCTGCCCTTCCTGTCCAGGTTTCTGGAAATCATATATATACTTTGGGTCATTTATATACACAAGGGACCTGCCATTTCACAGCTACAGGGAAGATGTGGGAAAATCCCACAGACATGACTATCAATCATAGAAATCCCATCTCCGGTCTGCATGCTGATTAACTGGCATTTCTAAGTACTGGTAACATTGAAGGCACTAAAGGTAGGGCTGCTAACCATCCTTATTGATACTATGTTTCTTGATATGAGTTTCATACTTGTAAACCACCTATTTCTAAGGACTTCTGAAAGCATTAATATTAAATGAGTCCTGCGCAGGGCCACCAGCAAGGCAGCAAATATCCACAGGATGGTCTCTCTTCTCTTCTGTGTTCCCTTCTCAACATGCAGGCTGCCAGGCTGCCTAGTGATCCCTACAATCTACCTTGAGGTAAAATACATGCTTTGAAAAAACACACAGCACTTCTGCTTTCAGATGACTGCAAAGACTTCAGCAGGTCAACTTGTCTTCTGAAGTGTGATCCCATTATTCACTGCACTGTCACATGTGGAGACCCCATACAAATGAGGTTTCTATATGTACTGTTTCATCACGGCTTGGCTGGATGAGCACATGGAAGGGGTTTCTTAGTTTTTGAAGACCTACATACATGAACTGTATTTTGAGGGCTGAAGAACAGCTCAAGGAGCTTGAGATTTAGCTCTATGGTTCAAGTCATTCATGCTTGCATAAC